CCCATAAACAATCGTTAGGGACGCATAATGGTTCGTCTAGAAAATTAGATTCGGACGAAGGTGAATAATTAGTTACTAATGATGTTTCTCCAAACCTTTCAAAATCCGAAAAATAGTAGTTTGCAGGGTCAAAACCATCATCTTGATAGAGTAGATCTTGTTTAGTAATAGCCATGCTAGCAAGAGAGTTATGACGTGTATGTATATTATGTACAACAATATGTTTTTCTTATGGTCAGAACACATATTTATAGAGGAAGAGAATAATCGGTAAATGTTTTTTTTTTTTTTTAATATAAGAGAATAAACATATTTATCCGTTGATATAAAGTTGGTTAATTAATTTAATCTAAGGATGGAATTATAGCACATTGTAAAATGAGTAAAATTATCCTTAAATACGGAAAATTCTATAAACTTGACAATTAAGCTACCTGTTGTAGTTGTAGTAATAACCCAATAAAAAACATAATAGACATGAAACATGACGCTAAAAAAACTATATCCAATAAAAAGATTTACATTGTGAGAATCAGGAATTCAGGATAATAATAATAATATTTGCTAAAAAACATCTTTACTTTTTATTTTAAACGTGTTTTTTTTTTATTCAATTATCTTTAAACGAAAACTTTCATAATTTTATTTATTTTATTTTTTTTGAACGGAAAAAACTTTCATTATTAGTTGGTCCTTAATACTTTACTCTAATACGAAGTATATTTTCTGTCTTTTACCTTTATTTTATTTTAGTTTATGATAAAATTAAAACAATATATGTTCTTATCAGAAAATAATATAATTGTACGAATAAATTTGCATGTTTAGCATGGCAATATAAACACTCTTAAAACAATCTTCTATCAATTTGTCTAGTGTCCTCATCTTCTAGAATAATCTTCTGTTAATTTGTAAAAATTTAGTTTTTATTTTATTATTAATGTATTTAATACTTTTTTGAAGACAAATGTATTTAATACTTATTTATCTAATTGTTTATTTTTCACCCATGTAGGTAGTAGGCTCAGGCATGAATCGGATCTAGTCAAGCCCATCACCAATGGATTCTCCTTCGGCCTTGGAACCGCGATCCAGGTGGAGCACAGTCCGCCAAAAGGCCCAAAATCGGCATAACTCATATTTACTTGTTTCCTACATGAGTCAAGACTAGGTCTAATTATTGTTATTCACAAAGTTTTATATGTGGCTGACCACACTGTTCGGCCAACCACAATTTATTATTATTTTTTTTAAAAAAATCTACCAATTCAACAGTCTTCTTACTGTAAATAATAATTGGCCAAACCAATTCAATGCTAGCTATTATTTTCGATGGGTTGGTTTGGAGTTTCAAAAACCTTCGACGACGACGAACACAAAGACGGCAACGAGCAGGTGGCGTGGGTGGTGGTGGTTCGTTTGTGGGTGGTGGTGGATTTTGGTGGTTTCATGAGTAGTGTTTTTAAGGCCAAAATCGGCCATAAAAACTCTAGATCTATAGTTTTCATGGTCGAATTTGGCCTTTTTAACCATATTTGAAGTGAAATTCGAAGTCTATTATTAATTTTAAAGGTATTTGTTCAATTTAATTTATTTATTTATTTATTTATTAACAATTTGGTTGTGGGTCCGGTTAGATCTATGTTTGTTTGTGGGTTCGACGCATGGTGGTGATGGCATGGCGTATTGGGGTGGAGCTAGTGGCGTTTTGGGGGTGGTGGTGGGTCAAGGGCTACTAGGTCGGGGGTTACTAGATGGGTAGGTCAAGGGTTAAGGGGTTACTAGATGGGTTACTTGAAGGGGTTACTTAAGTGAGGTTACTTGAAGGGGTTACTAGGGGCTACTTGGGAGATTATTTAAGTGGGGTTTACTTGAGGGGTTACTTGGGGGGCTACTTGGGAGATTATTTAAGTGATAGGATTACTTGGGGGGTTACTGGATGAGTTACTTGGTCGGTTAGGGGTTACTTGGAGTTACTAGGTTAGGGGTTACTTGGGGCTACTAGGTCTATTAGGGGTTATTTGGGGTTACTAGGTTAGGGGTTACTAGGTCAGTCAGGGGGTTACTGATATAGCACCTTACCACACCGTGCGGCCAGCCGCACCAGAAACGCGCTGTTTTTTATTTAGTTTCCTAGGTAGAATTGATGAAGTGCATGTTATTCAAGATATAAGAAAGTACAATAATGCTCGTAATACACTCTATGAAAGAACAAGCTTATTTTCTATTATACTAAAACACTATACGGACTATGTATTAGTGTTGTACCAGTTGTCAGTACAACGATTTCACCATAAGATTTACGGATAAGAAATTAGCCCGAAGTTTGCCAGCAATCATGAAAGCCTTGTAAACCACAGGTTTTACCAACTTGGACCCACCCCATGCAGTCATTTAGTCATTAACCACACTCTCATTCAACAAATCCACCCCTTTTTCTTTAGCCGTTGTAATAGCTGACCAAGACTTCAACATCCCCAAGAACCCCTCAAACGACATCGTTTTAGGTATGTCCAATTCCATTGGACGCCCCTCACTCCCTAGCCCAACATCTTCAAAGGGAAACGGCAGCGTTTTATACCCATCTAACACGTATTGAATCTTCGGGTCCCAATATGGTAGGGTCGTCTTATGAAATCGGTTCATAATTGGATCGAATGTGGGGCTCACTGCTACATCATTATAACACCAAACCGCGAATATTCCTCCAGGTTTTCTTAGTAACCGGTTCACTATAGAGTAAAAGTTAGGAAGATCGAACCAATGGACCGCTTGGGCTACAGTGATTAAATCGATTGAGCCTTCCGGTCCAATTAAGGAGATGAGGTCATTGTTACTTAAAGAGGTTGGTGTGTGGATGTACTTGACCCGAGGATGCTGGATGGCCCGGTTGATTTGGGGTTCACTTATGTCTGTTGCTATCACTTGATTGTAATATTCGGCAACCTTCACAAATGGTAAAAGGAGGTAATTAAAAAGCTTGTTCTTAATGAAGTTGAAATTGTCTAATTATACAAGCTGATAATCAAAAAAATTGAAACTATTAATGTTATTTAGATAAAATAGAAGGGTCTTAACAAGCCGAAATCTCTCACTGAATTGGGGGACAAGGTCACAAGGGTTACGAATTCCCACCCAAAGTGTCTCTAATAGAATTTGATCCCGCAAACCTCTCCAATTACAAACGGAGTACATCCGTTTTCATTTAATACTAACATCTACTAATTACACGAATATTAAGGAATTGGATTATAGGAAAGAACATGTAAATGAAATTGGACATACATTGTATAAATTTTTTTTTTAAAAAAAAAAAATAAAATAAAAAAAATATGCATTGAAGGTACTTGAGACTTGACAAATGACGATCAGCCAATGCCTCAATAAAGACGTGCCTAATTTTTCGGTATCATATCTTACTAATTTAATTCAACAACAATTTATAACAATCCTAGATCTAAACCATAAGAATCAAGAAAACGAATGTAATACGCAATAGATTAAAACCCGACTACATCATAACCCTATACGACTCATATCCCTTACAAATACGATCTAACACGAATTAGACAGACCCAACCATAGTAAAATACAAGTAAAAAAAATGTAACATAGAGAAAAAAGAAAGAGAAAGAGAGACATTACAGAGATAGCAGCTTGACCATTGCCAGTGCCAACATCCCAAGCCAAAGAATGGTGAGAAGTGCGATCAGCCAACAAAGAATACCATACCCTGCCATTTTTTTCTTTCTTTCCTTTTTTTTTTCAATTTTGTTTTCTTAAGGTTTATGCTGTTATATACAACTACTACAAGTACTTATATACGAAGTGGGACAATCGTTGACTTTATCAGCTAGAGTTGATCTCAACGGTGGAGATTTATCCACGTTACTTTATCTTTTATTTTATTTATGGCAACCGTTTTAATTATTTTGTTTATATTGGATAGAATTTATTATATTTTCCAAAATTACTAATTACGGAGTATGGATTTTTTATGTTTTTCGGACATGGAAGGGTAGAATACGATGTTAATAACATGACTACACAAGTACACGTCACGTCTATCAACCCTTTTAATTGTTGGCCTTATTTTTTTTTTTCTCTAGTTTAGAAAGTTTTAGTGTTTTACCATTATTTATATTTGTCCATAAATAAATGGAATTTGAGTATGAAATAGTATGGTTAGAAGGTTGTGGAAGAAATGTGTATGACATTAACAGTGAGATCATCAAGTGTTTTTACTTGTATTTATTTAATCTTTCCAACAAAGCGTTTGAAATGTGAGAAGGGAAGTTTTATCATAGGTGTGAGAAACTGAGAATGCATGTTTATGGGGTGTTTGGAAAAGTATAGTTGTAAAGATAGTTGTTAGCTATTAACTGTGAAGATAGATTAATTAGGTATAAGTGTACAGTAAAGTAGCGGTTAACTAGCTGTTATATATAAAAATCAATATTTTATTTTTAAAACTGTATACTACCTCCGTTATATATTATTTGCAACAATTTGACATAAAGTAGAGAGGAAAAATGTCTAATCGTTGCAAATAATATGTAACAGATGTAGTATTAAATTTTCAACAGCTACATCTAATTTCAAAAGATAATGTTTATAACTTTTCATAAAAACTAATCTCCACCACTAAAAGCTAATTTTGGTGTTTAGAGAGCCACAAGGGCGAGGGTAAGAATCGATCCCAAGAACACCTGGAATCGGGAAGGAAGCTCTAACCACTTGAGCTATCCCTCACTCTCGAATCACCATTAAAAGCTACTTTAACTACTAATTTTCTTTCTCAAAAAAAAAAAAAAAAAAAAAAAAAAAACAAAAAACAAAAAAAACTAAGAGCCTGTTTACATTTATTGAACTGAACTGATTGGAGCTGAACTGAACTGAACTGAGCTAAAATGAATATTTTATGAGAGAGAGAAATTAGGAGTTGAACTGAACTGAACTGATTGGAGCTGAACTGAATTGATTAGAGCTGAAGTGAACTGAACTGAAATTAAGTAAATTTAAACAGATCCTAATTTGCCAAACATTCACATTTTTTGTTAAGTGCAATAATGCTCGTAAAACACTCTAAAAGAACAAGCTTATTTTTTACAACACTAAAACATTATACGAACTCTGTATTAGTGTTGTAACAGTTTGTACCATAAGATTTACGGATTTGAAATTAACCCCGAACTTTGCCAGCAATCATAAAAACCTTACAAACCACAGGTTTAACCAGATGGGACCCACCCCATGCAGTCATTAAGTCATTAACAACACTCTCATTCAACAAATCCACCCCTTTTTCTTTAGCCGTTGTAACAGCTGACCAAGACTTCAACATCACCAAGTACCCCTCAAACGACATCATTTTAGGTATGTCCAATTCCATAGGACGCCCCTCACTCCCTAGCCCAACATCTTCAAAGGGAAACGGCAGCGTTTTATACCCATCTAACACGTATCGTAGCTTCGGGTCCCAATATGGTAGGGTTGTGTTATGAAACTCTTTCATAATCGGATCAAATGCGGGGCTCACTGTGACGTCCTTGTAACCCCAAACTGCGAATATTCCTCCACGTTTTTTTAGTAACCGGTCCACTATAGAGTAAAAGTTAGGAAGATCGAACCAATGGACCGCTTGGGCTACCGTGATTAAATCGACTGAGCCTTCCGGTCCAATTAAGGAGATGAGGTCATTGTTACTTAAAGAGGTTGGTGTGTGAATGTACTTGACCCGAGGATGATGGATGGCCCGATTGATTTGGGGTTCACTTATGTCTGTTGCTATCACTTGATTGTAATATTCGGCAACCTTCACAAATGGTAAAAAGTAAAGCTTAATTAAGTAACCTCACCTTAATTTCAGTTGTAAGGCCCTGTTCTCTTCACCTTAAAAAAATAAATAATTTCAGTTCAGTAAAAATAAGTTCAGTTCAGTAAAATTAATTTCATTTCAGTAAAAATAATTTCAGTTCAGTAAAATTCAGTTTTCTTAAAGAAGAATTATAATAGAAATTTAGTAAAAATAATTTAAGTTCAGTAAAAATAATTTCAATTCAGTAAAATTAAGTTCAGTTCAGTAAAAATAATTTCAGTTCAGCAAAACTAAGGTGAATCAAACAGGGCCTAATTGTCTAATTATACAAGCTAATTATTGAAAAATTTTAAACTATAAATGTTACTCCGTATTTTAGATAAAAAGAAATGGTTCTAATGAACTGAAACCTCTCACTGAATTGGGGGATAAGGTCACAAGGTAAGGGATTCTCACCCAAAGTCTAATAGAATTTGACCCCACAAAGCTCTCCAATTACAACCAGAGTACATTCGTTTTCGTCTAAACTTCACATCTACTTTTTTTTTTTTTTTTTTTTTTTTTGAATAGCTAAACTTAACATCTACTAATTACACAAATATTAAGGAAAATGATTATAAAGCAAAGAACATGTAAATGAAATTGGACGCACATTGTATTAAAATAAAAAATATTTATTAAGACATGCATTGAAGTTACTTGACTACTTGACAAATGACAATTAGCTAATGCCTCGCTAAAGACATGCATGCCTAATATTTGGGATTCTCGTCATCTTACCTTACTAATTTAATTTAAGAATAATTTATAACAATCCTAGATCTACTTATCTACACCATAAGAATCAAGGAAAATGAATGCAATACGCAACAGATTAAATCACGACTACACCATAACCGTTACAAGTAAAATTTAACACGAATTAGACAGACCCAACTATAGTAATATCATGTGGCCAGCCACAATTTTTATCTTTTATTATTTTTAAAATACCACAACTCTTCTCTCTCATTTTTTCTTAGCTTCTTCTCCAAGCCAAATCATACATCACCAACAACCATATCTCTACTCCACCCATTTTCTCTCTCCTCTTTTCTTAACTTCTTCTTTAAGCCAAACCACACATCACCAACAACCATATCTCTTCTCTACCCATTTTCTCTTTCCTCTTTGCCAAATTGCTATAATTAAAGCCCGAAATTGTAGAAATTGGGTGTCAAATTGTTGTGAAAATTTGTGATTAATTATCCTTAAGATCATGAACAACATTTGAAGTAGTGAAATCGATGAGTACCAATGAAATTTGAGCTCCTTTTCTTCGTAGAATCTCAAATCGAACATTCTACGTCAAAAATTGTAGGGTGTTACTAGTTTGCTCAGGGGTTACTTGTAGGGTGTTACTGGTTTGGTCAGGGATTACATGTAGGGTGTTATTGGTTTGGTCAGGGGTTACTTGTAGGGTGTTACTGGTTTTGGTCAGAGGTTACTTGTAGGGTGTTACTGGTTTTGGTCAGGGGTTAAGTTACTTGTAGGGTGTTACTGGTTTGGTCAGGGGTTACTTGTAGGGTGTTACTGATTTTGGTTAGGGGTTACTTGTAGGGTGTTACTGGTTTTGGTCAGGGGTTAGATTACTTGTAGGGTGTTACTGGTTTAGTCAGGGGTTACTTGTAGGGTGATATTGATTTTGGTCGGGGGTTACTTGTAGGGTGTTACTGGTTTTGGTCGGGGGTTACTTGTAGGGTGTTACTGGTTTTGGTCGGGGGTTACTTGTAGGGTGTTACTGGTTTGGTATGGGCCTACAAGCAACCCTTTTTTTTTTTTGAAACCAACCCTTGAATAAGTAATAAGTAACCATTGAATAAGTAATTCATACAAGTAACCTTTGAAGTAACTCATATAACTAACTCTTGAATAAGTAACTCATACAAGTAACCCTTGAATTAACCCATACAAGTAACCCCTAAAAAAAAAGTACCCTTGAAAAAAAAATATAAGTAACTCCTGAAAAAAAAAAATACAAGTAACCCTTGAATAACTAATCCATACAATTAACTCCTGAAAAAAAAAATACAAGTAACCCCTGAAAAAAAAAATACAAGTAACTTCTAAAAAAAAAATACAAGTAACACCTGAAAAAAAAAAATACAAGTAACCCCTGAAAAAAAAAAAATTACAAGTAACTCTTGAAAAAAAAAATACAAGTAACTCTGAAAAATACAAGTAATCCTGACAAAACCAGTAACCCCGTTATGCACGTGAATAATAACCCCGTTATGCGCGTGTCAGAATCCGTTATTATTACTGACTTGGCAGCAGGCCACACGGTGTGACCTGCTGCACCAAAAAAGTTCTGTAGTAATATACGTGTAAAAAAAAGAATGTAACATAGAGAAAGAGAGACATTATAGAGAAAGCAGCTTGACCATTGCCGGTACCAACATCCCAAGCCAAAGAATGGTGAGAAGTGCGATCAGCCAACAAAGAATACCATTCTTTTGGGTAATTTGGCCTTCCTTGTACATACAAATCTGCTTGCTTGTCAAATAACCCTGCCATTCCCTTTTTTCTACTGATTTTTGTTTTTTTTTAAGGTTTATGTTGTTTATACAACTAGTGAACTAGTACAAGAATTTATATACGAAGTGGGAATGCTTAAATCGTTGACTTTCTCAGCTAGAGTTGACGTCACTTTATCTTTTATTTTATTTATGGCAACCGTTCTATTTTTTTATTTTTTATTTTTGGAAAAAATTAATTATATTTTCTAAATTACTATGGATTTTTTTTTTTTTGGGACATGAAAGGATAGAATACAACTTGTTGAACTTTAGGTTCTGTTCTGATTTACTGAACTGAACTGATTGGAGTTGAATTGAATTGAACTGAACTGAATAGAGCTGAAATGAATTGATTTTTAGAGAAGGAAATTAGGAACTGAACTAATTGGGACATGAAATGATAGAATACGACTTGTTGAACTTTAGGGCCTGTTCTAATTTACTGAACTAAACTGAACTGAACTGAATATTTTATGAGAAAAGGAAATTAGGAACGAAACTGAATGAACTGAACTGAACAAGCTCTAAGCTGAATAGAACATGCTCTAAGTTGAAGAGAAAGACCCTTATTTTTTTTTCTGTTTGTCGATAAGTGGTAATTGAGTATGAAATTAAATAGTATGGTTAGGAGGTTGTGGAAGAAATGTGTATGACATTAACAATGAGATCATCAAGTGTTTTTATTTAATCTTTTCAAGTTTCAACACAGGGTTTGAAATGTGAGAATGAAATTTTTATTATAGGTGTGAGAAGGCATGTGTTTATAATTATTGTTTCTTTGAAGGTGAATTCTCATAATATGTGGTTCCTCAAAATAATATCTTGGAGAAACCTTGTTTTCTTTAAAATATCAATTTTAAAATATTTTCACAATAAGAAACAAATGTTAAAATATATACATTTGAAAACTGTACAAAAAGATATACTCCCTCCGTCCCTTATTGATAATCACTTATGGACATTTTTCACGGAAATTAATAAACATAAATAAAAGTAGTAAAAGTTCGTAAATTTACATTGAATATGCAAAAAAGTAGAGAGATAAAGTAATAAAAGTATGAGGAAAAACAAAATTTACATGAGAAAGTTAAATTTGTACAAATATTGTTGCAAATTGGAGAAAATTTTGGTAAAAAATTGATATTAATGATACTTGAAAAAAGCAAATGGAACTATCAAATTGGAACTAAAAATTAGCCATAAAAAACTATTAACAAGGGACGGAGAGAGTATAAGACAAACAAAAAGAATGGGATAAAGGTTAAAAAAAAACAAAACAACCAAAACAAATACTTCGTATGTTTTACTAAGGCAATAATACAATTAATACTTGTATAGTCGTTTTTTTTTTTTTTTTTTTTTTTATGAGCTACTGTGACATTGACATATTTTACCAAAATATAAAAATGTTTGAAATTGTGTCGGTTGTTTCACATTCTCATAAACCATGAACTTCAATATGATTGCAAGTAAAATCACACGCACTTGTGTTCGAACTTGGAAGACTGGCTAAATTTCTGGAATCTAGATTTGAGTTCAAAAATTATTTTCAATTTCATATCTCCTTTGATGATTTCCCTTTTAAAAAAATCACTCCATAACATCACTCCATATTTAAAATTGAGATTTCTAATTCGAAAAATCGCTCCTTTCTTTAGCCGTAAAACTAATATGAGGGCAACACAGAGTGCTAACGAGTCTAGAAAATTTACAGAAATTAACATGAACAAAATACCTAATGCAATAACAAAATACTCGTATATTACCCTAATCAAAATATAGAGTTCGTACTACCTTTCGGGTAGTCAAGTATATGAATCTCTCTTACGGAATACAAATCTACTGATACAAACAAGTAGATGGATGTGATTAGCCAAAGTGACTATCATCTTACAAATCTATATACAATGAAGTATAAATTTAATCTTGTATACAATGAAGTATGTTTTTTTTGTAAATTCTGAGTCAAAATTTTCCTTTCTTCCCACCCCTCAATTGTGCTAAATCCAATGCTCCTTTTTTGTAAAATTTGACAGCAAATTTTCCCTTCTTTGATTTGACTAGAAAATCTTGCCAACTCAGAAGATGTGAATCATGTGATTGTTGCATCTTCTTTCACAAAATGTAAGTGGATCTTTAACCAGATGATCAATAACATGAAATTATCGTTCTTTAAGCTTCCTAGATCAAGAAGCCATGTATAATTTCAGAGGTTTTTCGCTCTCATTGCTGTCCGTCAATGGAGAAGAAGAAGATGATGACAACGACGACAATGATTTAGGACTTTCCTGGATTTCAGGGACACCTCCATCATCCTCACCTAAAACTACTACCCCTCCAAAATGAACCCGTCTAGGACTTCCTGGCTGTACAACCACCCCAGATGCTCTGTTTACATTCTCGTTCCCACTCCCATTTTCTAAATCAACATTGCTACCATTTCCACCATCGACGACACCATTACTAATACTTGTACTAACAATTGGAATAGGACTAACACCATCCCCGTTACTATTCCTAGCAGACACACCAGAAGGAACAGCATCATCAGGGTGATCATCAGCACCAGAGGAACCAAAACAAGACATCCTAAACCCACAAGCACGAGAAACAATCCGATAAACCAATGTGAGGAACCAAAAGAACCAAGGGAAGCAAACTAGAGACCCGCCAATAACGGGGTACAAAGAAGTATCCAGGTATGCAGGCTGGATCATGTACAGCACCAAGAAGACTGCACCTGAGACTGTGAAGATCAAAAGAAGGGAAGAGATGACCCATATATAACAAATCCCGGCCTTCGAATCCTCTGATATTGCCATTGGAAGATTTCGAGGATTACGACAAGAAGAATCAGACTTTAGGACAGGGGGTGGAAAATAAAAGCTACATCTCTAGGTATTCCATGTCCCATCTGCTCAACAACAATGTCATTGTACAGAGTATGAAACAAAGGGAAAATGGGGAGGAAAGGGGGAGAAAGAGAAGGAAAAATGAATAATTTAATGGAATGGAGGTTGATGGGGGTACATGGCAACACGATATGGGCAGAAATTGGTGTGATCATTAAGAGATTAGCAAATCAATCCAACCAAAGCTTGTTGACTTATGCCTTGATTAAACATCAGTTTTTGAGTTTTTGCCAACTATTTTATTTGTCATCATGGGGTCATCACACAGCACAGCAGTTTCCAGTTTCCAATTTTTAAATTTTATTAATTGGATAATAACCACCAATTAGATAAGCTTCAATAAGCCCACTATCCTTACTAGGCCCAATCCACTATATTTCCAACATTAGAGGTGGAAATAAAGTCGTTTTTGGTCATATTCGTAAGAGGAAACTAATGGTTCGGGAGCAGGCCTATTTGGGCCGCGTCAAATTTATGTCTATTAAAAAAATAGATTATTGTGGGAAACAAATTAAATTTAGTTATCAAGGTATTAACCAAATTAAAATTAATAGGCGAGAAAAATATAAAAGCCTGAATTGTATCTGAAGTTTCAATAATGTACAAAGAGAAGCCTAAAATCAATTCAGAAGAACAAAATTGGATATTATCTGAATAAAGTTCCTATTTACAACTAAGTTGTCAAAGAGGAAAAAATTGCCGAAGTATCTGTATAAGCACTTCAGCTTCAAAGCAACATATAATATTACTATACTAGCATCAGTGTATCACAACTAAGTTGAATAACAAAATTGGCAATTGCAAAGCTAATTCAGGATTAGACAAAAAAGACACATCACCTTTTATATGCTTTAACTTTTCTTCTTACTTGCCGGTGTTGAATTTTCTCTGATCCGAGCCAGTTGCTTCAGAGAAATGAAGGTCCAAAGAGCTTCCATCATGGATTTCTAACCGTCCAAGAGACAAGAATTGGAGTAGTTTATCATACAACCCACCATGCTGAAGCACCGCGGCATAGGCTTATGCCCACATGATAACCAAGAGTTACATTTCCAACATATAGATTCACATACTAAGAGCTGATTGCCTCTACCACTGAAGATTCTTCCTTCTCAGGCTCAACTAAGACAGAAGACATCATCTGGCGCCTCCTCTGTTCCTGAACTTGCCTTCGGTTTGTTTCCAGAATGATCATCAGAGCAGTGATGTCAGCAGGGCTTACCCCACCAACTCTGCTTGCCTGGCCAATGGTCTGTGGCCTTACCTGCAAGGAGGAAAAAGAAAACTAACATTTCAGACACGTGGCTCAAATCTTGCTAAATATAAGGACTTACAATAACATTCTGCATGAAAAAGCAAGATGAGAAAACATGATGGTCACAAAAAACCCATTAACATGCCCTCCCTCTTTCAAAATTCCAAAATGTAGTATGCCACAAGGGGCATTCTACAACCTAAAAGTTACTGCAACATAGATTTAATATGTTCACCAAGCCAACCTGTTGTTCAATGAGTTCTAGTTACATCTCAAGTTAACATTCACTGGGATGGTAAGCGGCAACGACTTGATCTAATAAACTAAGCTATTTGGGTATCTAATAAAGCTTTCAAAGAACTCTAGTAGTCTTATCATTGGAAGCTAAAATTTATTAGAAAATAAACATTGATATACCTCAATAGAAATTACATTAGGGATCATATATCATATTTTTCTTTTTTTTTTTCTTTCTTATTATTGAGAAGTGAGGCCAAAACACAAATTGCAGACTGAGGAGAAACATCTACACATTTTTATTTTATTTTTTCCCTTTAGGGAATTGGGAGAGAGGGGATTGGGAGGGACAGAGGGTAATGATATGCAATTGATTCTTCAGGGTGAATAGTTTAATCACGTAACTGACAATATCAATGTTTAAACGATGCCACCCCATACTCTAATGCAAGCTACAAGGTCACTGATCAACACTACAGGAATGCAATGTTAAAAGAGATGGAATTTGCCAAGTTTTGTATCCATGAGATAAGCCTGGTACTAGTACACAAGAAAAGCATCTCCAGGGTTCAAAAAGCACAAAATTATCAAAGAGATGTTAAATAATACAAGAATTGACCCTGTCGGATGCTGCAGATTATACATATAAGAGAGTACATACCTTAGAGAGTTTCTCTCGTGCCTCCCAAGACAAAGTGGTCATTGAATAATAATCTAAATTGTCTGGAAGTGGTTTGTGTTGTTGATGAACCATCTACAAATACAGCAAAGATAAAATCAAGGATGACAATGGAAGGGATTTCATACTTGAGGACATGTGAGCCAGATAAAGCAGACAGGGTTATAAAGAGTTAAGACAAACATGCCAAGAGCACACAAGAATTCACCTGTTGCAGCTGCTGTTGCTGTCTGACAATGAATCCCTCATATTTAATATCAATTTCTACGCATTCTTTCTCCATTTTGGATAGGCATTGATTCCCAAACCCATGCTTATCCAGAACTCTATACTCTATATGTGGCTTTTTAAGAAGACTCTCCAAGGTTGATGAATCCTTCACCGGTTGATTAGATAAAAGGGTAACATCAGCAGCCAGATCACCGCCTACACACATAGAAAGTACCAGAAACTTAGAGATAACCAAGAAGGTGGAAACCTCACCCTCTCTATAAACCAAGTTAGCACCTTTTCTATATTAACTTTTCTTAATATTAAGAATGTCCACTTTTAAAATCAAAATAGAAATCAGCAAGACATAGTTACTCAAAAGAGTAGAACAAAGAAAAGTATTTATTTGAAACAAGAAAAAACAACCACTACTACAGAAAATGGGGACAAATCTACTGGTCAGTGTTGCATCGAAAAAATGGGAAGACACTCCAATTCAAAATGTGATCATCCATTTAACAAACTCCTATATATGCCTTTTTTCTCATAGCAAGTCGAACTGTTTAAAAGGTTCACAAGTCCTTTCAGAAACTGCAATGCAGCATGCCAAGAGAAGTATGTCTAAAAAAACTCTTGCCATTACTTTGAATACTTTGACCCACAACTTCCTGCCCTCAAGAAAAAAAAAAAAAAAAAAGAAAAAAAAGGACAGAAGAAAGCTTACCAGAAATCCTGACAGTTTTCAGCCGTTTTTTCTCCTCTGCAATTCGTGATTGCTTATCTTGGTATAGTTTCCAGCGTCTATCATCAATCAAACCAATTTCATAGCCCAGAGGTGTAAGACGGCTATCGGCATTATCAGATCGAAGAAGTAATCGGTGTTCTGAACGACTGAAAGAAGCATGGAAATTAAGAAATCAATTGAAGAAAAAAGGAAAATTTCCCATTTCTTTCCAAGGACTTCTAGAAACATTATGTATGAAAGTCTAAAATGCTAGTACCTTGTTAACACTCGATAAGGTTCTCGGAGATCTTTGGTGATTAAGTCATCAATTAAAGTGCCAATATAGCTGCTTTCTCTCTCAAGAACAATAAGGGATTTTCCATCAGCATGCCTTGCAGCATTAACTCCAGAAATGATGCCCTACAGAAAGGTAAACAACATACAGCTCAGTTTTAGGGAACTTGGATTTATCCTGATAGCCAGATTGGTGGCCCATGACGTGCAAGGGGTTAAATGTGAGTAATATTTCTTTTGAGTAATTATCATATATTATTATTTTTGCACATGCTAAATACTCCTTACGGAGTATTATCAAAGGATTCTCCCAGATACTTTTCAGTATACTTGTACCAGAAAATAACAATACCTATGTTCTATAAAATAAATCAGTAAGCTAGAAAACAGAAAGGTTTTTTTAGCTTCTTTGTCATCATGCTTTTTCCTGATACTACTTTTAAAGAAGTGTTTTGTGACTTTGTCTGACATGAGTAGGGAGTTACAATCCATTCCTATAGATATCATGTAGTCTTATACAAATATAACTCTTCTTTGATGTAATATAGAATGAGAGAAAAGATAAGGGCGTGGGGAAGTTAAACCTGTGCAGCAGCTTCCTCGTAGCCGGTTGTTCCGTTAATCTGACCAGAGAAGAAAAGACCTTGAATCTTTTTGGTCATCAGAGATCTAGAGCACTGGTGAGCAGGCAAATAATCATATTCCACAGCATAAGCTGGCCTCAGCATCGTACAGTTTTCAAGTCCAGGTAATGTTCGCAGCAATGGTAGCTGCAGCCTCTCAGGTAAACCAGTTGAGAATCCCTGCAAACAAATGTTAATTTGACGTTGTATTATCAATTCAGGGGAGAAGGTATGACGTTATTACCATTCAAAAGAATCGAAGGCTGATCAAAAACCTAATACGTTGTAGAAAATTAAGACAAAAGTAATTAGAGAACTTGCATTAAACTATTTTCTGACAGCAGAGGAACCAATCAACTAAGCAAGATAATGTTAAAATAATAAATACAGAACACAGAATACCTGTACATAAAGCTCAGGCACAGTTCGGCCCTCTGGTTCAAGAAAAATTTGATGTGACTCCTTGTCTTGAAACCTAACAATCTGAAGCACCAAAGAGTGATACAAGAAGATTTCTGAGAGAATGAATATAAGGTGAAATCTTTATAGAAACAGTACCCCCCCCCCCCTCCCCACAAAAAAAAAAAAAAAAAAAAAAAAAAAAGAAAAAAAAAAGACATAAACTACTTCCTTGCAGGATTAGACTGAGTTCATTGGCTTCATCCATGCACCAGTCTCCCCTCCATAAACAGAAGAATAGCACAAGACACTGGATTTATGGCTTTATGCGGAGTAGACACTACAAACATCCTACTATACAGTAAATCAAAGATAATGGAGTACCAGAGCAAGCCATTTCATTGGTGGTTCTTGTGAGTTGTGAGATCCCTCTGACTAACGTATTTCTTGTTAAGATATCTCTAGACAACACATAAGTAATAACAACTTTTGCTAAAAAGAAAAAAAATACATACTTTGCCTAGAATGACCTTGAATGTCTTTTTAGGGCTCAACTATAGCATTAGCATGCTACCAAAGCCACTATCTCAATTCTAGCATTCTCAGCAAATCTCACTACATCAGTTAGAATCTTACTGACACTTAAATTACCTAAAACTTTGTGAAATTAAAAAGTTTCAATTCACATAAAAAGAAAGAAAATAAAGGTGAAGATCTATACATTAATGATTAGGGATTAAGAGATTAAACCTATTGACTAACTTCCATTTCTGAAAATTGTGCTTGCTTGATAACTTTTTCCTTCAGAGGGGTAAAATAATAAGAGTGCAGTGGTGCATGAAAATGTTAGGTTGTAAAATTTACCTTATCCTCAATAGAAGGGCAATATCTAGGCCCTTTAGCATCAACCCACCCACCATATGTTGGAGTTTCATGCAAGTTTTCCTTGATCAGCGTGTGTGTACTTTTTGTTGTACGTGTCAGATAACAGCACATCTGTTCCCTTTCAATATGAAGCTCAGGGTCAAAGGTGAACCAGCCGACCTGCTCAATCACCATTACAAAATCAGTACAATTACTTCCTGTGCCAATTGTAACAATAGAAGTAGACTTTACCAAGATTTGCATATACATGATGCCATACAAATCAGAGCCAAAAAATAAAAAAGTTGATCAATATTTCCATCCAAAAACTTCAACAGTTAAACGTACACATAAGATTTAATGACAGAACCTCTTCATCTCCGTGTTGGGGTTCCAATTTGGAAAAGTCTACAGTACGAGTGTCTACACGTGCAGGAGTCCCTGTTTTCAACCTATCAGTTTCAAATCCAAGATGTTGAAGATTTTCAGTGAGTCCAACAGAGGCTGACTCGCCAGCTCTTCCTGCATCCATGGAGGTTCTTCCAACCCATATTTTGCCACTCATGAATGTCCCAGTAGTAAGAACAACAGAAGGTGCATAAAAATTCATTCCAAAGAAAGTCCGGACTCCTTCAACATTATCATTCTTCCCAACAATGATTTCTGTCACCATAGCCTCTCTAATCGAGAGATTGTCAGTACTGCAAAAGTAAAATGATTAGTTGATAACAGGAATTGTCATAAGGAACCATACAACTAAATTGAACATCAACATAGGAAAAAAAATTCATGTGATATTTACATGTTCTCCATAAACTACGCACGTATCTTCCAATGTTCTACTAGATACCAATTAGAAAGCATTATTCTCTCCATGTCTTTTTACTTCCTAAATATTTCTTAAATGATTGTCTAAAATTACTTGCTACATACCCATTTTTGGCAAGCTTTTTTAATCTACATTATATCTAAAGTTAGGACCCACGCAAATTCACCCTTTATTCTCTCAAAGTTTTCACTTCCTAAAAACTCTGCCGACAGCAAAGGTAACAAGTAAAATGAGACAGGGGTAGTATTTTCTATCTACTTTTCAAAATTTATTCAATATTGATGCACGCTTGATAAGTTGGCCGGAACAACAAATTATTCTAGCAAAAGCCTTGGGGAGGGATAAAACAATTATGTAAGCTGCATCTTCTGCCAGAAGCCAGACTTCTATAAATCAAAGTGACAACATCCCAACTGAGGAATGACGGTTGAATTAAATTATAAACAAACCACAATGATAAGTTAATACAGAGTACGAGTTTTTAAAAAAGGCAATACATAGTCCTCAGTTGTCACAATTCATCATATTCCGACAAATTAAAAAGTCCTTTAGAATAGGTTAGTGGCAGTAGCATACTTTTCAACAACATTCCTCATCTCCATAGCATATTCCCTCTTATCAGTTTGTGCACGCAGTGCTCGAACTGCTGGGCCTCTGGATGTGTTAAGCACACGTTTTTGCAGATAGCACCTAAAATTTGAACCAAAAAAAAAAAGGAAAGAAAGAAGATAGGCATCAAACTCTTTGTAAAGCAAAAGCCATAAATCTTCATCAACGATAATGGTACAGATAGATAACTCATATAAACAATTTCCTACAAAATTCAAAACTTCAGAAGCACAGATGTAGCACAGAAATTCAGAAACAACATATGCCTCAAAAAAATATAATGAGATAGCACAACAGGCTCCCCCAAAATCAAGCTGTCACCGTATGATTACAATAAATTCTTTCTAATATGAAAACATTATATGATTTCAAATAGGCTGGAATTGGCAAGAAAAGCAGTCATGGACATAGTAAACAGTTTTTCATCACATCATCAGCTTTTCGTCTTTAATCAAATAGCAAACAGTGTGTGGTGTCTCCCTTTCTCAGACCCCCATTAAATTCCTATTCAAAACAAATATTACCTATCAGCAATCTTTCCTATCTCACCACCAAGGGCATCCACTTCATGTACAAGTTGTGATTTTGCAGGCCCACCAACTGCCGGATTGCATGGCTGCATGCAAATTCTTGGTTAGCTTTACTGCTGACCAAATAAGATAAAGTATAGTGAACAGAGAGTGGAAAACAAAACACTGAAGCAGCAATCTCAGCCTTCTCAATAGTCACTAGTTTAAGAAATGGGAGCCAATGAAAGGTTATACAAAGTCAAGATCAACACCAGTCTGAAGAAAAAAGACTGAAATATCTTTAAGACACTAATTTAAATACACATAGTCATAGCAATTTGGCATACTGATCTCCATTATCAATGTGTTTCCCCCTGACTATATGAGAATAAATTTTCAACATACAAATGCACTGGGAAGAATATGACAAGAGATGTACTACGTCTTTGAATAGCATTTACACCTAAAATCATTCTTAAATCCATTTCGCATCAAGATGTTCAATTAAGTACAGTTACTGCTTTCCTTTTTCACGATTAGGTTGCTTATGAGCATGCAATGCAAGAGGGGTGCAAGAGTAATGGATATACAATCATTTTCCAAAAAAAATGGAGAATATCATGTTTCAATTTCAATGCTACAATGGAATAAAGTCGTGTACCTTCAACATCTAGCTACTTCCAATATCCAAATATGGAATCCTGGAAAACTAAGACAAAGACTAGTTGATGGAAAATGGACTAAACAGGCAAACAAATTGAAAATCTACTTTCTTTATAACTACTTATTCTTCATGGAGAGGTTGAGTACACCAAGAAGTAAGAGATATATCCTATGTGTGTCAGAAGATTTACCTGCCATGCAATTCTGTCAATGTTTAGCGTGAGAAGTAGAGTCTTTGCCCCTACTCGAGCAGAGGCAAGAGCAGCTTCACATCCAGCATGTCCACCTCCAACCACAATGACATCGTATGTTTCATGGGCTGCTTCACAGGAACACCCAAGTCAAGGAATCAGGATTAATATAAAAAAAGATAACAAACCAGTACTCAATCAATGTACTCCCAATTAGGCAGTCATAATGGGATTATTTTTAGACAGTCAAGTCAAGCTGGAAAAATATGTTATTTTTATGTCATAATACGATGAAAGTCTCCTAACATAAGAATGTATGAGATCTAATCCCCTAATAAGAGCAATTATACCACAGCTACAAGTAGGATAATCAAATTAGCTAACTATGATAAAGTGCTTGCCCAGTTAGGTCACTTCTTATTTTTATCGACCAATCAGAACCTGATTTTAAAAGCAAATGTAACTCATCAATATTGATCAAATTATCCAATGAGCACACAAAAGAAATTAAAATTTGGTGCAAAATCGGAATTCCTGCGATGTACTCATCAATATTGGCAATAACATTGGACAGGCACGGTATATTCTGATCTTGGTTGTAATAATTATGCAGAATGCAACCAGGGGTGTGCCATTTTACACACAAAGAAATCACAATACGAGCCGCCAACTAAGTTCCTAAACACTTACTTATATTCACTTCCAAGTCATGAAAGTTCCATTGAACTCCCAACATGAAATCTAAGTCCAAAACACCAGTTGCATAGTCCAGATTTCCAAAAAGATCCAATAATAATGACCAAATTTCAGCTTAAGTTCATACATAAATTCTAAACCATTTTGCCATTAATCCTGCATAAACTCAAAACAATTCGTAAAAATGCCCAAATCAAACAACAAAGTACATAATTCAAAAACCCAGAAAAATCCCAGATGTGTGAGGCCAGAATTGTTAGTCAAAATACAATCTTTCGATAGCTACTCAACAACCCCAACATGAACACCAACTGTTCGCTAAAATGCCGCTATGAAAACCCAAACAAAAATGAAGAAAATTGAACATTTTGGTATCAGGGGAACGAAGGAGAGAGAAATTAACAACTCACCGACATAACTAGACGCTGAAACAGTGAATTTCCTGGTGGAATTGAAGGATAAAGGGGGACAATAGCGGAGTGACTTGGAGCGAAAAGAGGGATGGCGAGGTTTGAAGAGTGAAGAAGACAGAAACGAAGTGGGTATGGAAGATACAGCAGGAAAATGGCGCGTAATCCGAGTGAATTGAATAAAAGTAGTTGCCGCCATTAGAGAGTGATGAAGCTTTTTCTGGTTCTATAGAGCTTCCATGGTTCAAGTCATAGAAAAGATAAGCCTGTGATAAACAATTAGGAGACTCGTTTTTCTTTTTAGAAGGAGATTGACTTTTTTGAGAAATGGAAGGAGATTGACTTTCAAATTGAGGTAATTTGTGTATTGATTTCACATTTTTTTCACAAATGGTTTTTTTTTTTTTTTTTTGACATCAATATGTAAAATTAAAATTATGTGATTCAACTTTCAAGTTGTTGTGTGGATTTTGCAAAGATAATTCTATAGCAAATAATATTTGGCTTATTGGTATAAGCAATTTGGAGATAGAGATTATCTTACCCTTCTACTAATTACCAAGAAGTCTTGCTCCTTAACCCAAACTGAGTAGATATGTTAGAGATTTTTGTCAAATAGGCGTGTTATCCTTACCTACTAAAAAAGGTACCAATTTTGCAAACTACGAAGTACTCGTATGATTTTATGTATCAAAATTTATTAAAATACACAGTTGCTAAATACAACCCCTATTTACTCTAACACACCCTCTTAAAAAACCAAATATGCCCCTCCTTCCTTATTCTTTCCTTGATATTCTCCTATTGTGCTTCAACGAGTTTTTATGTTTCTAAAAAATTTTCAACTTGTCTACCAACTACAAAATTAGTGTACTAATCATCATGATTATAAGATCACAAACCAAAAACAACATTATACGACAAGACCAACATGAGAAATTCGTGGATAATTTATATATCTGATTTATGAAACTATAATGAAACATATTCCCTTTTGCACATTAATTTGATAGAGTGTTGTCTATACAAAAATTGGCTATAGGCTTATGACTTACTCATGCATATGTTTTGTGCATCTCTTATGTTATAGAGTATCACTAGTGTTTATAAGTAATGTGAACTAAATTGATGTGTTGTGTAACACTGCATAGGCCTTTGAAAATATGTTTCCACTACTAAACATCATAGTTAAAAACTCACAATTTTGCTTGAGTTATGTATCTTTGAAATCTAATTTGTTTTTAAACATTTTTCATGTCTGATAGAATTTCTACATATAACTTATGTATCTTATATGTAAGCATGAATTTGTATTTTAATGGCATTGTGGTAAATAAGTGCCTTGATTTCCAAGCAAGTAGAATAAAAATAAAAAATTCTCTTCACTTTTAGGACATTAGATGTTTATTCATGCCATTTGCTAGTGAATTTGAATACGTTTGCCCGAAGATCATTCCACAAAGAAGAATAAGAAGAACATAAGAGAAATAGAAAGAGAAGTATCGAATTAAATATATCTTTTTCATGTATATTTTAGGGTAATAAAGTATTATCAATTACATAACGACAATATCAAACCCCAAATTTTCTTTGACTGCTTAAGTAGTTTGATCATAAAGCTTAAGAAAACTTCAATTGTAGAAGATTGCAATTATTGGTGGTTTTGCTATCAAATTCAAAGAAACCCCTAAGAGAAAATATTAAAATCAATGGAATGATTTACCCTAATATGATAGGTGTTTGTCGTAGAGATTGGAGGAAGATAAATCTTCAGAATACTTTAACAACAAAGAGAGATCAAGCAACAACATCAAAATGGGAGGGTTGCGTCATTTTATATGATCCTACATTCAAATAGACACCGAGGGATATATATGTAAATGACCACCAATATATTGCCTACTCTATGGAGTAACATCGGAAATTGATTTTGGCACACCCTTAATTGATTTTGACACACCCTTATATGAAAAAAGCATAGAAAATTGTGCTCTCACATAGAGGTGTGCCAGAATCAATTTTGGTATGCCAAAATCATTTCCCAATAACATCATTCGAGAGAAAAAGGTATAAATGTAAATGTTGTACAACTTCCTTTCCCAATTCTTGAACATTATTATACGTAGTATTATTATGGGATGAAGGGAGTAGTTTGTAGTCGGTACTTGTCCGTGTCCAAGTATGCCATATTCCTCCCATAAACATTTCCATCCCCAAAACGAAGCCCAAACGACCTTCCAATTTCCAAGCTTCCAACATAATCCATCCAATTTAGCCAATACTAAAATCAAATTCAAACTTCATTTCATTCAAAGCGGGAAAACAACAGACCAAGAGCAACAGAAGAGAGAGAAACTACAACAATGGAGGAAACCACAACATCAACCAAGAAGAAACCACTCAGTCTCAACCAACGTTACTCTCACATCCTCTCTGCTTCTCACTCCAAACCTCCTCATCGTACTCTCCTTTTCTCTCTCTTCAATCTAACCCTAATTTCTGCAATTTTGTTGATCAATTTTTCATAATTTGAAGCTCCATTTTTTGGTGTTACAGGTGAAGGAAATCAGTCCAAGTTGAAGGAATTCGTAGAAGATGTTCCTCATTTCTCAATCGCCGATTCTGATTCTTCTCCTGGTTTGTTCTTCTCAACATTTTGCCCTATTTTGTAAAATTTTAATTTTTTGGTGTGGGTTTATGTTTGGGTGATTATTGAAGGGTTAATTAATTGCAGATGATATCGAGTTTTCGAAAGCGAATCGGGGTTCTGCGGTTCATGATGATGATTTAACTGATGATAGTATCACGCATGTTTCTGGGTTTAATGATGTTGTGTCTCTTACTGGTATAATTCTCTTCCTTTTTCCTGAATTTTACAAAACATTGAATTGAATTTATTTATATTAGTATGTGTTAGGTCAAGTTTAGTTTTGTTTAAAATAGCTGAAGTATTAGGTCAATTTATTTGGGGTGGTTTGGGTTGATCAATTTGGGGCTGAATTAACAGAAAAATCGAAGCCGGAGAAGGTGAAAATTCAAGGAAGGAGACGTCTTTGCAAAGTAGCGTGCAAAGATAATGATGATAATAACCAACAACAGGTTAAGGAAGATGATCTCAATTTATTTGATATTTCTGATTATAGCTCAGCGCCACCGGTGAAGGATGTGGGTTGTGGGGGGAATGAGATTAGGGATATACTGAATGATTTGAATTCGAGGATGGAGTTTTTGTCGATTGAGAAGAAGCCAAACCCTAGGCCGGTTGATCTAAAAGCTGTTCCTTTGGTGGATGTTTCGCTGCATGAAGAGAAAGTTAAGGGTGTGGGTCAAAATGATGAATTGGCAGACTCTGAATTTGGTAGTGTTGATTCGTCGTTTGCTAGTGTTTCTGAGTTGTCAAGCTCTTCATCGGGTGTGAAGGGTGGGGTTGATGACAAGGAAGTTGATAGTAGGGTGTTGAGTGAATCTGATGGGGACAATTTTGTTGAGGAAGCTAAACCAAACAAGGATGATTTTAAAGGGAAATCCAGGAATGTGAGCACAACAGTCAAGGAAGAGCCTGTTGTCACTCACAGGAGTTCAGCTTATGCTCTGAAAGATGAAAGTGATGATGACGAGGATGATTGTGTAGAGGTGGGAGGTAACAATTGGACTAGAAGAGAAAAGCAGCATGATGTTTTAATAGATGAGGAGTATAGCAATTCAAGTGTTGTTGAGGTTTTAGAGGGTGCTAAAGATGCTAAAGAGGTTAATTCAGTGGATGAATATGCAATTACTCTTACTGGCCCAAGATCAACTTACAAGCTACCTCCTAAAATTGGCAAAATGCTTTATCCTCATCAACGTGATGGACTGAAGTGGCTTTGGTCTCTTCACTGTCAAGGGAAAGGTGGGATTTTGGGAGATGACATGGGCTTAGGGAAAACAATGCAGGTAACATATTGTTTATGTTATTTTTTTGGAGTAGCTACTTTTTTGTATCGTCTGTATTTGGTTATTGTTAACAGCTTTTTTTTTTTTCCCTTTCTATTGCCTTTCAGATTTCTGGTTTTTTGGCCGGTTTGTTTAACTCACGTTTGATAAAGAGGGTAATGATTGTGGCTCCAAAGACACTTCTCCCTCACTGGATCAAAGAACTCTCTGCTGTGGGTCTTTCACAGAAGATAAAAGAGTGAGCTTACTTGACCATGTTAAACGGGAATGTTTGGGGTCTAGGAAGGGATTTTTTTTTTTTTTATTTTTTTTTTTTTTCCAACCACGTGTTTGTTTGACTTTCTAAATTTTGCTCCTATGCAGATATTTTGGAACGTGTCCTAAGCTACGACAGTATGAGCTCCAATATGTGCTTCAGGTTTGGCTTTGACTTGTCAAATTTACATGACATAGAAAGGGAATTTGTGTTCAGATCCTTTAGCTGGGTTTTACTGGTTTTGTTTTTGCACACACAATATCTTATATATGAAAGTGAATTTTTTATCCTGCAATTTGGTTATTAAATCATGGAATCAATATGACAGTAAGTTAGAAAAATCTAGATGACTTGATTTTCTTATTGTCACTTAGACATCTATATATGTAATATATCACTGGCATTAGTTTTGTCTTGTTTATCTTCTTGACTTTTATGAATAATTCTTTGTTTGCTTTGCCAGGACAAGGGTATTCTATTAACAACCTATGACATTGTAAGGTTTAATGCAAAACAATTATGTGGAAATGACTTTTATGATGATGACGGTGATGATATCCCTCTCTGGGATTACATGATACTTGACGAGGTAAGTGACAATTAGGCAGATCTATTGTTACACGTCATATGTTTGATTGTCTAGAAGCTTACTTCTTTTCACTTCCCCCCCCCCCCCCTTGTATCTTCTATCTCTCGTTTTCTTTCTGTCTACATTGTATAAATTAGTTTTGGATATGCTCACGTTTCTGATTTTTCCAACAAACTATCTTCATCTATTACCTAAAAAAAAGTAAATTTAATACTCCGTACTGTTTTATTTTTATATTCTTTTCCTTTTCTATTTATTTTTTTAATGGTCATAGAAGGTTACCATTTAACAAACAACAACTTTCATCTTTACTAATTGACTGCACTTGGGTTAGTTGCAAGCTGTTTTCATTATATTCTGCATCTTGGTGTCCTCCTGTCAATATATGGAGGTTATACATGCTGCAAGAAGCATTTTTCCTGTCAATATATGGAGGATATACATGCTGCAGGAAAATCTCCTTTGATTCTCTTTTTCTTACTTAAATCCATTTGTGTAAATCTTGACCCTTTTATATTTTTGTCTTTATAAATTTATTTAGGGTCATCTTATAAAGAATCCAAGTACACAAAGAGCCAAAAGTTTGCTTGGAATACCATGTGCCCATCGCATTATCATTAGTGGGACACCAATTCAAAACAACCTAAAGGTATTATCAATACAATCTCGTAGTTTTGATATGTTGAGGCATGTACAAGAAGTATCTATGTGATTTTATCATGATCCTTTTTGCTTCCTTTGATTGAAATAGGAGTTATGGGCACTCTTCAACTTTTGCTGCCCTGATTTGCTGGGGGACAAGAAAGAGT